GACAAAGGGGAAGGCAAGGATAGAATCCAAGGCACCCCTTTGACCTAGCCAAGGCTAGTTGCGCGACTCAAACCAATTTTTCCTAATTTTTCTACCCAAGGTATGTATCGCGTATTGGATATGTCTATATGAATGCAAAAACCTAGACCTAGGGGGATTGGGGGAAATTTCTCTTCAAAAGTTGAGTGGTGCCAATCACATTAATTGTGAAGCCCAATAATGATCCTTTTGGAGAGGTCACACCTAAACCTAAATGACGTGAAAAATGAGTGGAATGCATGCCATGTGAAAGTGTGAGTTTGTGTGAAGTGAGAAAAATGATAAAAGTAATAAGATAAGAGTGAAGGTGTGCAAATGTAGATGAAAGTACTCGTGTGCGAGTGAAGATAAAAGGGTTCGTGTGCAAGTGAAGATAGAAAAAGCAAGTGAAAGTGATAAAAAGGTGCATGCGTGCAAATGAGACAAAAAAGTGTTCGTGTGCAAGTGAAGGTGATAAAAAGGTGCATGTGTGCAAATGAGACAAAAGGAGACCTAAATCGTGACTTGATTTTCCCTTTGATTAGAAGGCGAAACTAGCGTGCTAAGGCTATCGAGTAGCCACACTCGCTCGTTTCCCTTATCGGAAGGGGACACTCAAGCAAAATGAACCCTATAGCTAGTATGGGATGCAAAACCTAAAATGAGGGGAAAGGGGTTCGAGGATCATGCCAAATGATAAAACTAAGAAAAATGCGTGATATGTGGTGAACAAGCAAATGATATGCTAATGAGGGGAAATCCCTAAGGGTCTAGCGTTGGACTAGCCCATTCTATGAATTCCGACTAGCGTTGGACTAGCGGAAACGTACATTCATCCATTCCATTCATTCATGGCTATGAAAGCAAGTAGACATGCCAAAATACTCGTAAACACATAGCACATAGCATTTAGCATGCTCGACTAGATGCAAGAGCCTAATAAAGCAATTAAACATGTAGCAACAAAAACAAGCAACCAAGGGGAAGGGGAAGTGGACCAGATGCTCTCCGAGCCCTATCTATTACAAGCCAAGAGGTGTACACATACCCCATAAAAGCATAAAGGGAAAGGGGAAATGGACAAGATGCCCTCCGAGCCCTATCTATTACAAGCCAAGAGGTGTACACATACCCCATAAAACTTAAATGAAAACAAAAGCAAGTAAATGCATGCAAGGAGGTAAGGAAAGCGGAGTAGGCATGCATATTCACATAACACGTAGAAGCACGTAGGGTCAAATGAAGTGCAAATGAAGGATAGAGTGTACCTCCCTTGAATTGACGCCCTAACGTAGTGAAATTACTAATTTACCCTCCAAAATAATAAACAGGTCAAGGTACCACTTAAATTATCAAATAATCACATAAAATAACCATTAAACACAAACAAATGGAAATTAAGCATGAAACGAAAATTAAATATGGAATAGACCATGCATGTGCAAGCAAAACTCGGTCTCAAATAAAAAGTCTCAAAAATCTAAATTGGAGTGCTAAATTGAAATGCTGAAGGTGGAATCTATCGCAATCAAGTGCAAAAAATCACGAAAGGAAGAAATGGAAAATTATTAAAGTTTTAGAAACAAGATTAGCTAAGCAAAATTTAAAACAAACAAAATCAAGACCACCAATGCTTCCAAGTTACCAAACTTTCATGATTTGATCCTAGAAATCTATTAACATTGTCCACAATTCACATGAAAAAACATATCAAGGCACAATCACACAAAAGAGATCCAATTGCGAAAATTAACCAACCATGCAAGCCCAATCAAAACATTTAAGGAACTTTAAAAGGTCGAATAGCAAAGAAAAAGTCAAGCCACGGTTCCTATTGCAACTATCCTAGGATCTAATTGCAAGAAATTTGAATGTAATTGGGCCTTAGTAAATCAAGAGGGGATTTGGGGGGTTAAAGTATAATTTTTGGAAGTCATTCTCATGCAAACAACGTATAAGACATTCTGCAACAAAACATTTTGGCCGAACGAAATCCCTTTGCTTTTTACCATTTCTGCTGCCATATTCTTCCAGGTCTCTTTAACCAGAAAATATAGATATAAGACCTCAACCAAACATCAACCTTTGATTCAAGCAGCCAAACACAGAGTTTTAATGCCCAAATGAACAACAAAAATCAATCAAAGAGATGCAATCTTCTTAACAAATTATTGAAACAACATAACACGGCAGGTGAGCTAAATGGAAGTGAAACAACCACACGTTCTTCATGCTCTTGGGTAAAAACAGATTTTAGAAACCCAATGGTAAGAGCAGACAAACCATCCAATATGCAAGGGAAACCGCAAGAAGCTAGCAGCATTCAAACCAAATCAAACATATCAACTAAACCGCAGCTTTGACAACCAAAGAAAGGAATCAATGCTGCAACGAGCCGAGACACTTGTTGCAGCACATCCTTCACAAGAAATCAAAAATGCTAACAAATCCAGATTACACAAGCCAGGCCCAAAGATACAGCCTTTAGCTCATCAGATTGAAGAAAATCCAAGTCTTTCGCTCAAACAACAGACACAATATCACTCCACATGCGATATTCAGCAACCCAAAGAATGAAAGATAAGAAAAAATGCAAAAAGGTTCCTTCTTGTTTGCAGAGAGTCTAACCGAAACATGAATCACTAACACAAGTAACGAATGCGACATTAAAACATAAATTTACTGTCATTTTTCTTGATTTTTGTCTGTCAGACGTACGACATTAACTGCTGTACGGGCTCATCAGATAAACTATGCAGGGAGCTTTGAATCCATTTTTTAGAGACTATCAAACACCAGCATGGCAGCGTAATGAAAATCAATCAAACAGAAAGAGAAAAAAAGTAAGCATCAACATACCTAGATAGCAAAAAAAGAAGCAACTTGGAAGGACCTTCAATGGATGACCGGCGGTAAAAAAAACTCGTGCGAAGATGACAGCAATCAACAATGGAGGTGCTGAGTTTTTCCTCCACTCGTTAACTCCCCTTCGCTCTCTTTCTTTTCTAGCTCTGGTCACTTCAGCCGTCACCTTATTCTTCCACCCCCTCTCGCCCTTTCTGGGTTTTTCTTTTTCTCAGTCGCTACCTGCTATCCCCTTCGGCCTCTCTCTTTTCGCAAACCTCCGTCACAGACTCTCAGCCCTCGTGACCAAACTTCCTCCTCTGTTTTTCTTTTTCTTTTCGATCCTATCCCCCCTTCGACTGTGAACAAAACCCCATGAAGCTCTCCCCTATTTCTTGGCCTTCTCAGATTTTTCTCACTTCTCAGATTGCCGCCTCACCTTTGCTCTCTGTCCGCTCCCTCACTTGCTCACCGAAAAACTCCTCTCTCCCTCCCCCCGACCCAGCCGCTGTTCTCACCTCCCCTTCCAGCCGTCCCTCTCTATTTCTTTGTTCTTTCTAAATTTTCCAAGCCCAAACCCCAGGTCTCTCTTTCAATTTTCTCTCGCTGTCCCCCTCTCTCCGTATCTCCCTGTTTTTGTTTTTGCTGCTTGTTCCTGCTAAAAACCTCCCCCTTTGCGGCTCCCCTTTCTTTCCTTTTATATGAAGCGCTCAACCCTAAAACAATCTCCCCAATTTTGCAGCTAAAGGGGCTGCCCAGCCCTTTGTTTGCAAGCTGCGGCAATACGCAGCTTGCATGCCGCGTTTCACTTTCTTTTTTTTTTTTTTTTTTTTTTTTTTTGAACTTAATAACTTAATAAATACAGAAAATATAAATAATAATAATAACAAATTGCCAAAAACCAAGTAATAATAATAATAATAATAATGAAAATAATTTAAAAACTAAACAACTAAAAACAACAAAAATGACCATTTTTCCATCTCTTTTTGTTTCATTTTTCATTTTCCCCAAAATAACTTAATAAAAATAACTAAAGTGCCCAAAGATTGAATTTTTGTGAACAAATTTTCCTTTTTCCTTTTTCTCTTTTTTTCATTTTTCCGATCTAACTAAAGCCTATTTTTTTTGAATTTTTCTTTTCAAGAAAGCATTGAATAAAAATAAAATGACTACAACATATTTTTGATGTTTTCCTTTTTTTTTCTAAAAACTCTACGCTAATTTTAAACTTAAAAGCTAAAACTAAAAATTAAAACTAAAAGTAAACAACGAATGCAAGCAATCTAAAATGAAAATCATGAAATAGATGCCACATAAAATTATTCAAAATTTGGTGTCTACATGGTGAATCTTGTGCGGTCCCGTAAATATTGCCTAGCGTGATTTGTCGTCCTCTATCATTTGCCTCAATTTTGTTATGAAGAGGAACCAGGCTTTACATTTGCTGTGTTGTTTCTTTACTTTGTCGTTGTGCGTTTGTCGGATGGTGATTGTGTAAGCTGCCCGAATTGTAGAGGCAACTAGTTATTCGGGAGCTGTGTTGCTGCCGAATTTTAGAGGCACAAGTAGAACCATGATAATTTGTGTTGTTGCTGCCTAACAAGCATAATTGATTATTTGACAAGTGCTAGAATTCGGGTTTTGAAATGGCCACTGAGATAACAGCACTTGTTTGGATTTCATTACTGCTATGTTAGTTAATATTGGTTTAAGCTTCTGTTGGTTCCTCTTTCCTTATTTAAGTATAGTTACAAACGTATTATTTGAGTTGTTCTAAAGCCGACATTGGTTTAGTCAGACCAGTCTCTTTGCCTTTTATTTAACATGATTTTGAGGTCTTTCTTAAGAGATTACTTACAATGCTTTCTGGTTTATGTGTTCCATCTTGTCCTTATGATCTGTGTCTTGGTTGTTGAGTAATTTGGTAGAGTTTGGGCTGTCTATGTAGTACCATTTTATGTAAGTGCGATGACTGTACCTATTGTCTAGTCCTTTGAGCGGGCCGTTCGCATGCCCCCTGTGACTCGGCGTGCTTGGAAGGGTAAGGAGTTGCTGTTGGTCTCATTCTTGTACAAAAAGTCGATTGGGGTAAACTAAAGTTTAGGATTCTATTTTTTACATATATTTCACAGCTTTGCGAAGGAGTAGGGGATATACCAATTGTTCTTCATTGTCGGCTCAGGGAGAAAATGATTTGCAACTTTGCATCACTAACTACTTTAAGGTTAGCTATATGTGATGGTCCTTTGTACTAGGCAGCCTGCATTTTCAATTTTTAGATGGAAAATAGGTATAGTTTTAGCATTTTTTGACCCTTTTCGTCCATTTTTTCTGGTTTCTGTATACTAAAGAAAAACAAGATGAGTCGACCAAAAGGGAAGTATCCAAAGCGTAACAATTTCACTTCAGAACATGAAATTGTCTTTGCCGAACATCTCCTGAGTATGCATAGGAATGGAGAGATATCATCTCATAACATCGGGAGTCATGTCATCCCCGAGATTACTCGGATGCTAAATGAGAGGTTCGGTACTTCATTTCCGACAAACACTATTCGGGGGAAGTACTATGCCCTTTAGAGCCTGACTAGGCTCTATATTTCATTCAAGAAGCGGGACACTGGAATGGGTTGGGACTCAACCAACTACACCTTCATGATGGGCGATGAACGGTGGAGCCAGCTAGTTCAGGTAACTACTTTAATTGCTTTTTTGTTTCTTTAATGCCATTAAAAATCAGTCCATTCCCCCCTGTGGTAGTTTTTCTTTTCTCCCTCGTAAATGGGTGTATATCTCTATTCATTCATTTTTTTATATGTTGTAACGGAGGCTGCATTAATTAAGCTTATGTTACATCTTGCATTAATTAAATTTTGGGACCGATTGTTTTGTTGTCGGTGAACAATGGGTACGTTAAATTTTGGGACTGATCATGCTATGTCTTCCATTTGCTCGAAGAAGTTTTCATCGATCAAGGGGCGACTGGCGCTTTCACAGCCTCCTATGGATTATCACCCCTAAACTCTGCCCACGAGCTGGAAATGGAGAACGCTGCTAGACAGACTCGGGGAAAGGGGGTTGCAGACATCAATTCATCCGAGGAAGAAGTTCCCTTGGAGCCAAAGACTCGGAAAGGGAAAGAGAAAGTGAAGAAGGGCAAAGGAAAGTGCAAATCAGGTGACATGTCGACTGATACCTTCTTCTCACCTTCCTCCCCTCAATTCCAGTAGTACGTCCGCGTCCTAGACAGCATTGAGACACATTTGAACTGTAAAAAGAGCTCTAGCCTTAGTGGTTCAGTCTCTTCACCTTCGAAGAGTAAAAATCCTCCCATGGATGCCGATAAGGAGCTAGAAGTTGCAATGGTTCCCCTCTGCTCTGTTCATCTAGACATAAACGTGCACTTGCAGACGGCTGAGCTCCTCCGGTCGAAAGAGGAGCGTATCATTTGGTTCTTCTTCACTACAGACGCTGACCGTCTTGCTTTTGTGAGATATCGAGGGTTCCTCCCCCCCTATAGATGCTCATAGCATCCCCGTATTTTTCATCTTGGTAGCTTATTTTTTATCTTTGTGTCCCCGAACGTTGAGTTATTATTGAACTTTTAGTATTGAGAGACGCAGTTTGATTTTGGAAATTTTGCGGCAGCTAGTTCCATGTTCTTTGACGATTGAGTGTATTTCTTTTTTCTGATATTCAATAATTCGATTTAGTGTACGAAGGCACCAGCACTCTGTTTAATTTATATTGCCTTTTATTTATTATTTGCATGGGCTCTCGTTTAAGTTGAATAAGGAGATTCTTGGTAGCTTGCTTGAATGGGTACGCAGGATTTAAAGTATTACTACAACATTTGTGCCCCCCTAAGGTGGGCAATTGTAATTCTTCGGAGGGACTTAATTCATCCCCTTCCTCACACAACTATCATGCCATTTGTTGTATACCTATAAGAAATAGTAGCATTTAATGTGATGAACCAGGGGTATATACGAGTTTCGAAACCTACTTTTCTTGTTATTTTGCTCAGCTTCTTGTTTAAATATTGCGTTGATTTTTATTATATATTATATTTTGTTAACTGACTGTGATAAAGGGTCTGCATTGCAAGGAAGTGGTGTTGACTGGCGATTTATTAACTCTACTTAATCGTAAATGTGCAGGGTATCGCTGGTTCTGATATTTATTTCTTGAAAGTGGTAGCAGTGGGATGGATGACCAGGGGCACATTCAGGGCGGACACCTGGACGACGAGGGTGACAATTACTTACACGATGAAATCCTTATGGCAGTTGTACTCCTAGGTGTCATGTTCTTTGACCCTCTCTTTAATCGTGTCCCCAGAAGGAGAAGAGTCCGAGATAGTGCGCTCTTGGGGAGGGACTACGTGCTTGAGCTTATAAACGGACATGAATCGAGAATGATTGAAAACATACGCTTGGATGTTCCCTAGTTCCTGCTGTTGTGCGATTTATTGGTTAATCGTGGTTACTAGCATGCATATCCTTCTCATCGGGTGGGCGTTCATGAATCGGTTGTTTTAACTCTAATGTGCTTGAGCCATGATGAGTGACACCGAGTTCTAGCCGAGCGGTTCCAGTATTCAACGGAGATGATTGATCGACATGTTCACCGTGTCTTACGAGCCTTGGTTCGACTCGGTCGTGATCTCGTAGGGCCAGCAAACTTGGATGGGACTCACCCGAGAATTTTGAACAATGCATTGCTTATGCCGTGGTTCCGGGTATGTGTTTTTAACATAGAGTCCTACTTTTTTGCTTTGCTCAAGGACTTAGTCTGATTTGTTTAAAATATCGAATTTGTATAGGATTGTGTAGGAGCACTAGATGGGACCCACGTCTCCGCTTGGTGCAGAGTAGAGATAAGAGAGGTTCAGAAATCGACATGGCGACTTATCACAGAATGTGCTTGCTGCTTGCGATCATGATATGCGATTTGTCTATATTCGGGTCGGTTGGGAGGGTAGTACTCATGATACCCGAATTCTCCAAGAAACCTTGCTAGATTCGGATTCGGGTTTTCCTATGCTACTGCATGGTACATTTTGAACTTGTTATGTTTCAAGATATGAGATAAGAAAGTGCTTAATTGTTATGGCATTTTTTCGTGGATACAAACTTGTTATATTCAGGGTTTCTCTATTTCTATGCAATACTTGACATCAATTGTATGACATAACTGCCAGGGAAATATTATGTGGTAGATGCTGCTTACAAAAACATGCCAGGGTTTATGGCACCGTTTACAGCGCACGCATCATGAGCTGGCTGCTAAAGCGCTGTTTAACAGGCGACATGCTTCGGTTAGAAATATTATTGAGAGCACATTTGGGGTTCTTAAGAAGCGTTTTCCAATACTCAAGGGTCCAATGCAGAACTACCTAATTGCAACTCAAAATAATATTGTACTTGCATGTTGTACTTTGCACAATTTTATGCGCGCTTACTCCCCAGCGGATGAGTACTTCAACGAAGAAGCTGTACTCGGAGCCCTTGCAGATGCACAGATAACAGGGGATCAACAACAGTCGGGTCAACCCATCGATATGTCGCAGCAGGGCATAGATAACTGGAACGAAGATCGGCGGGCTATGGCGGCGCACATGTATTGGAATGCGCATAACTAGACTCCACTGCATGGCCTTGAACCGATAAGTCAAAATAAATCCAAGTTTATTAGTTTTTATCGATCAAACGTTGTGATTTAACAAATAAATTTGATTTGGGAACAGTTACTGTATTATGTCGACCACGGATTTGGACCTTTATATTATATTTGCTAACTAGTACTTTGCTCTCTTCCCCTATATCACCCATTCACAGGTTTAGTTCATGTCTTTGTGAAAGGTATGATACAAAAATACCTTCGTCCAGTTAAGTTCTGCACATCATTGACAGGGGTTACGGTCATGGTGTGCTACTAATTTTACAACATCTGGAAATTGACTTATTTTAGCTGTGGCACATTTGCAATGACCTGAAGTTATTGGACAATTGCACATATGGACCGTACTAAGATTTATTGTGTAGATGTTTTTCAAAAACTGTTCAATCCAAACGCATGTGTTTTTCAAAAAATAAGAGTTTTTCAAAAACAACAATCCAAACGACAATAGTAGTTTTTCAAAAAATGCTACAGTGAAGTTTTTCAAAAACACCTCCAAAAACAGGGAATCTAAACACAGCCCTAGTTTTCCAAACTACTAGTTTGCTGAAAAATTTTCACAGGAAGCCTTGCGCAGCTTTTGAAAATTGACTATAACTTCGTATAGGAAAGTCAGAATCGAGTTTTGTTTGTTGCGTTTGAAACTAGACTCATAGCATTTTCAACCGTATAAAATGCAGGGTTTGCTTCAGCTCCTATAAATACTAGCAAATTTGCAAATTTTCTTGAAAACCATGACTGTTTTATTTTTGCACGTGAAACAGCAGTGAGTTTGAACTGAAATTTGACTAACCTATGAGCTGAATTTCATGAAGATGTCTTCCAAAACCTGTTAGTGCTTCGAGTCTATCTTGTAATGGTGTAAGTGTTGTGATTTTTCAACCTACGGAACTCAAGTTATGCTTTTTCAAAAAATGTCACCAAAGTTGAAAATTTTGTCAAATGAATTGAGTGGGACTTGGAAAACTTTGGGAAAACTCTTCTAGGTCTTAAACCTTAATTTGGTGTGATTTTGGATGCTTAAATTGCTCTCCTCAGTTTTAGAATATTTGTGTTGGATTTTATCTTAAAGTCTCAAGTTCAAAGTTCAAAGTATATGGAATACCTTGGAATACTATACGTGTATGTTTTGGCTAGTTGCATCTACTAAGTTTAAATCTATTGTGATTGTGAATCTTGCCTCAGGGTTTGGTAGCGATCAAGGTTATCATCTAGAGAGTTGATATTTAATCTACTGATATCGGTGAGTGTTCCTTGCATGTTGTTCTTCTAATGACTATGTGGAATGTTGTGAATGTTTCCTTGACTGTTAAACATTTTCAATGATTGTTAAATGGAATTTTAATGGATGAGTGTGTACTTTATCTCACTCGACCTAAGTGAATGTGAATTTTCAATGATCAAATGGTTGAATGTTACTTGTGCATGAATGTAAGCCTTTGACTGAACTGGGCCCTTGCCCTTCGTCGCTAGCCTATTTGAGCCAGAAGCGGACTCAATCGGGTAGGTTGGTGACCCGGGGCCAGTGTTTTGGTATACTCGAGTATGACCACGAAGTCTGGTGGAGAACTGGCTAGTGAATGAAATACAATGAATGAAATGACTGTCTGAATGAAATGATCACTGTTGGAGTTTTATTTTCAAATGTTTTCACATGTTGGAGGAATAAGGGAGAAATGGTTGGCGACTGAATGACTGAATGAATGGCTCCAAGTGAGCACGTATCCTTCCAATGATCAAATGTTCATTTCTTGAATGACTGCTTATTACTGTACAAAGTGTGTGAAGTGTTAAATGTGATATTTTCCTGCTTTACCTACTTGACTGTTTGTTTTGGAACCTCACTGGATTTTTACCTAATTTCTTTAGTTTTGTTTTCCTTACAAGAGTGAAGGTCCGGAGCAATTAGTATAAACTAGTATGTATAACTCTCTTGTACTTATACTTTTGGTAGATAGAATGTATTTTGAAATTAGATGTTGTATCTTGCATTTGGTTTTTGGGTTGCAATTAAGATTGAATTATTGGTTGAATTGTAGAACTTCAATGTTATTTTGGAGGTTTGAACGGTTAATCTTGAGAGTTGATTGAAGTGAATGAGTAAATTCTGACGAGAGTTGGGCAGGCGGTCGGCCAAACCCTTGGGTACGCCTAGGGGGAGGTGGAGTCATCACATATATTTTAGGTGAATTTTTTCCACTCCTTCCAAGATAGTATTATTGATAATATTTTTTGATAACAATATAAATTGCCATAAATAACTAGTGTTGTGTGACAATAATTAATGTTGTCAATAAAATTAATTTATGTACGATAAAATTGGATATCATCACTAAGTGCTATCACTAAAAACCTTATTTCTTGTAGTATCATTGATTAATGTAAAACTATTTTGGTAACTATTGATATTTTTCATATAGGCTAAAGTTCTATGAGCTAAGTGCAGCTCACTATCCCTTATAAAGAAATCAATGTACAACATACATCATCAAAAAACTAAACTTGACTACATCACAAACAAAAGAAATGAGAATGCTGATAGGGCTTTTTACATACTACAAATTTTAAAACTTTATGCCCTATTTTCGCAAGTGCACGGTTCATTTATTAAGTATAGTAATAATAAGTGTCGATCCCACAGAGACTTAGAAATTGGCAATCACTTAAGTTTAATTACTTACTATATTATCTAGACAATCAAAGTTAAGGTGGTAAAAATAAAGTTAATTAGGTGGCAAAACTGACCATAAAAGTTAGTTTAGATGGTACAACCGGCTATTAAACTTAGAAGTTAGATAGACAGTACAACCAGCCATATAGCTTAAGCAATAAATATAAAAATGGCTATTGGGTAGTAAAACCAACCATCTAGGCGGTATATTGCAAGAACATAAATAAAAATAAAGACAAGTTAGATTAGAATTGCTTAAAGTTGAGATGAGATGAGATGATCCTAGGGATTAGAATCCCTTGTTATGTCAAGTTTAGAAGTTAGTTAATGTGCTTATGCTTATGCTTCTATGAATTGTCAAGGAATAACTTCCAATTGTATGCACTTGCTTTCGCCAATGGACAATTAAGAGAAACCACCTTGGCTAATTCCTCTAGAAATTACTTTTGCCAATTCCTTTAATTCCTTGAATCATCCTTTATCTATGTTCATAGAGAAGCGAGTTAAATAAGTTCAATGAAGTTATTATATGAATTCAACCAACCATTATTCACTACTTTCGTGAGAATAAGGCTAATGTTTAAGAACTTAGATCTATTAGAAAGCAACTTTCATTTCTCAACATTATCAAATCATTCAATATGAAGCATAAACACAAGTTCTCAAACTAACAAATTGTGAAAAAGCATAATCATCCCCTAATTATTTCAAATCAAAACTATAACAAGTTCATCTTCACACTAAGATACGAAAAAGCTTAACTAGACATCATATTAAGAACATCTAAGTATGAAACAAACTTATAACAAAGCATGGTAAATAAGAATAAAAAAAAAGTCTGGGTAGAAGAATTCTTATTCAATATCTTGAAGTTTGAATCCTTGAATTCTTTCATGTTTTGTGTAAGAACTAATTGGTCCTGTATCATCAAGAAAATCACAGTTGAAATTGGACAAAAAATAGAGCAAAGTTGAGTCTTAAACTGAAAGTGCAAAACTAAAGATGAAGAAGAACTGCGAGGCGATCCACGAGGCACTACCTTGTAGATCCATCTTGCGGATCTCTGAATCACAGCTGCAACTTGTTTTGCAACTTGCATTTTGTTCATACCAACCTTTTGACCAATTCCTCTGCAAGAAAAATGGCTAGAACCCGCTAAAATTAAATTGGAGAAATAGAAAACAACTTTGTGTCTATATTATGAGAACATCTTCTCATCAAAATATCTTTAAATATTCCTTGAATCTTATTCATTTGAGCATCAAATGTTAGCAAGATATAGCATCTTATAGTAAGAAGTAGAGTAGAAGTAGAGATAGAAGTAGTTTATCTCTACTTTCATATTGAGAGTTCTTTCTTAGTTGAAAGAGTTTTGAGAGAGAGGTGGAAGTACTTTTGTATCAAGCTTCTTTGAGAAATCAACTTGTGAAACCTTTTTGAGTTAGCTTTCCCATGTATTAAGAATCAGCTCATTTGGATATGAGAAATAACCAAAATACCCCTGACTGGTAAATGCTCTAGTTTAGCTTTTGACAGAAGTTTTGCCAATTGTATTTCGAATTTTTGACTAGGAAACTCAATGAAATGGATATCAATGTCTCCACAAGAATTGTAGAGTTATGTCTTAACTTCAAAATGTCTCAAGAATCACCTCAATATGATACTTGTAGTTCAAGTAATAGTCAAAATACCAAGATATATCAAAGCTTGAAACTCCTTTTGACTTAAATCAATTGATAACATACCAAACCTACAAAAACAATACAAATTTGCATATTAACCCACACTTTTGCATGTTTTGATTAAGTGACACTACTTGTATGAAAAGTAATTTATAAAGGAATTTGATTCTTCCATTTTTAATTAAAACAGACCAAAAATTTAACCTAAATCTAACTAAAAATGGGTAAAATAAAGGCTAATCAAAGACCAAGGTAGTGTAAAGTTATGCATTATGAAATTACTTATTATTCTGAAAATTTGTAATACAATCTACCAAAATATGTTATTATCCTACTTTTTGAAATATGTGATATTAGTGATGGAATTTAGAGGTGTCACCTATTACTATGTGTCCATAACATTTGATTTTGACATTAATTATACAAAATCTAGTTCCGAAACAAAAAACCTTAATTACAGAGATTGGCATGGGAAGTTTACTTGAAATCAAGTGCAAGATGTGACAGCCCCACTTCCCCCTTAGGCAAACCACAGGGTTCAGTGGACTGCCTGCCCAACTCTCGCCGGGACTCAGTCGTTCACTTCACACAAATCAGAAATAGAACCAC